TTTAAAAAAAAGTTTAGAAGAAAAACTGACTCCACTAAAAATGGTTTATAAAAATATTAGGAGCCAAAGCTTGAAACTTGGCAGGGAGGTGTAAGAAGTTCATTCCTGTATCGTGGTTGGGCATTCTGCGAATGTGAAAAACCAGAACAAAACAACGAAAAAAACCCCACAAACATGAAAAAACCCAACTGATCTTTGTTATTGTGAATACTCTTGGTTTAAATGTTCTTGGCAAACAGATGGTGTCCATGTGCAGAGTGTGTTCTGTGTCCTCAGAGCGCCAGGGAGCGGTGAAGGATGCAGAAATGTGGTGAACAGGTAGGAAAGAAATGAAGTACGAGGAAGGAGAACAAAGGATGAATGATCAGGAGAGGTGGACCTGTAAAAGGAGAAAGGGGCAGCAACAAGATGGAAGCAGTGTGGAGAAAGAAGTTATAGCCAGAGAGGAGCAGGGATAAAAGCTTGCTAGGAACTGAAAAGGAAGTATCGTTAAAAAAAGAGTGACTGAAAGTAACTTGAAAAGATGCAGGCAGTGAGGACAGCAGATAAGGATTTTAGATTAATGAGGTGGAAAGAAAAAGGGTCTGTAACTGTCAGGACACCTAAAATAGACTGTACTTCTGTGCACTATTTCTAAATCTTCACATTGTTTTCCTGTCAGGGTAATATCATCAGTGAGATTCTCTGGCAAGGTGGATATTTCCATTCATCTGATGCAGTAGATGTATGTGTCTTCTGCATTTACAAATTGCTCCTTGCGTATAGTCACCTACTCAGACGATTCACTTTGCTAAGTTTGATAGGGGAGCACTGGCTAATGATTCTCCAGGAATATTGTTTTCTTCCCTATATGACAGCTTGAAAAAATATAGGAAAATTACATATAAAAGTTGTGTTAATGATGCAAAGTGAATTACTTGGGCTATAATTAAGGCTGACTGTACTACATTAGTTAAACTATTTTCTGATACACCTACCAACTTTTCATGTGGTCGTGGGCTATTTTTTCCCTAAAAAGGCTGTGTTCTCTTTAGGATGGACCTTACTCTGCCAACATCTTGGTATGGTATGGTTCATGAAGTGAAAAAAAAAACTCTTACTGGTATGTTATTTTCTCCTCACATGCCTCATTTGTTGCAAAAATCTGAAGACGTTTGGAGAATGATGCAAGATACTGAAGGATAGTATTTTGATGTTGCTACTGAATGGCATCGGACTAAGTGACTATGGCTCTATTGCATAGCTCCCACATGCAGCGGGAGGATCCATATCAGACTTTGTCATGGGATCACTAGTTGTGTTGGCTTTGATTTTGTTCAAAATGTAGGATTAGGAAACTCAACAGTACTCTGGAGATTAGGCAGTAACTATTTTAGAATAGCACCTAGATAAGTGTGCTTTTTTGTATCTAATACCTATGCCTTAATTCCATGTATAAAATGGGGATAATACTACTACTTGCCTCATAGAAGTGTTAGAGAAATCTTCATTTTTGCTTTTTCTTTGAATTCTTCACAGCATGCAACAGCACTGATGTGGAAATGAATTGTTAACTGTAGACGTTAAATGATGTGCAGTGAGTTGTGTATGTGGCCCTAGATAGAATGAAGATAGTTTCTCAAAATCATTTTTCATTTTCCAGTACTAACGATGTCTAACTGAATATCAATTGCTACAATTACAGAAAACGTGTTGCTTAGCAAATGTCTGTTGCCATATAGGATATGTGGGATTGAGTAACTGGTCAGGTCAAAAAGTTGAGGTGGTGCCTATTACTGAAATGTAAATATTAATATAGATTATAGTATTATTTGCAAAATATATTGAAGATTATATTATTATTCAGAAAATGATAGGTGTAGTTCTCACAGGTACAACAGAATACCATGGGTACAGGTGTTGCATTTCAACCTGGGCTTGTAACCAATCACTTCCGAATGAGTTGCTTGTAGTCCTCAAATTATATTAGTTATTACCATATATATATATGTGCAATTACATATTTGTAAAACTGTACATGTATGTAGTGTAGTTAGCCATGAACTGCAGTACAGTCAGAATTTCAATGCGAATTTAAATTGCAATACAGTGAGAATTTAAATGTAAATTATGAGGACTTCTACAGATTTTCTTTTTTAGTGGCATACTTATTTTAAATAGTGAAATAAGTGATTTTGACGCTGTGTAATGCCTCTGAAATAGTTTTTGCTGTCTCTTCTGTCAGATGTCTTGAAGTGCTTAGAAAATATCGGTCAACTCAACTTTTATAAGTAAAACTAAGAAAGGAAGTGTAAGAAATGTTTTTCTTTCTGTTCTCTAGATGGAAAAAAGTGTAACGGTAGGTTTTCTTTTTTCAAAAAGCTTAGGAGGCAACCTTTTGAAAGTGACTGTAAATATTGAGTTCTTCCAGTTACTGTGGAATAGCACCAGACAAAAAGTATCTCAAAATAAGTACTCAGAAATCAAGGCACTCAAAAAAAAGTGCTACTTTTTCTAAAAGGCAGTGGTTTTACTTGCTTGCTCAATATGATACTGAACGTTTGGGCCCAACATAGGTCTGGAGATGCAGTCTTCTGTCTCTCAGGCTTTTGCTGTAACTCCTGACCAGACACTTGCCAGGCGGTAGCCCATTAAACAGGTGTGCTTTTGGAAAAAAAAAAAAAAATGATAATTTTGGCTTGAGAATCTAAATTATTTCCAGTGGGTATTGCAGTATACAAAATAACATTTATTTGTCTCTTACATTCCTGAATACATATGCTGGTATAGTCCTCAGGAATGCTAACATTTTCTTGTTAGAAGCGCTGTGTCACCGTCTTCTTATCAGATGACCAGATGTTTGTTTTTGTGGTTGGTTATTGCCTGCACAGCTCTTCATCCTCTAACAATGATTTCACTGTGTCACATTGTTCAATGTGAAATGCATGAAATGTGTCTAGATTGTGTTGAGTCAGATTTGCTAAAGACTTTGAATTTTGTTTGGGTAGAAGAGCTTTAAGTATTGACAGAAAAACATTTTACCTTTCTTAATCACATCTTCTTCCAGTCCTACTTATGTATCTTTTTGCAAATAATATTACTTGAGCCTCTCTTTTTCTGCTCCCTTCCAAAGTCATTCAGATGTGCATACGTGTGAATTGCAATTCAGAAATACTGGACTCCCTTTGACTATTCCAGGACCAGTTTATTCCATTTATATTTTGAGGGATGCCTTATTTCTTAACATCAAGTTTTATTTTGGGGCAGTCCCAACTGGTTTAAAACCAAAGCAGCAGACAACATTTCTAGGGTCATGAATGTAACCCTTTAAAAATACTGATTACTAGTAAAGGTAAATGTTTTAGAAAATTATAGTGTTGTGCATGGAAGAATATTGAGAATAGCTGAATGTCCACGTCTACATCTTTTATATTCTTAATAACAGGTGACTGAAGGATAAAAATACTTTCCCAGTGCAGTGCCATTTTAGTTTTCATGCTCTGCAGTTTCACTTCTGGAAATATATTTGGATGAGATTAGAGAGGAAGAATGCATACATCTCAAAGTGCTACATATATGCTAGTAAAAGATATTGGGATGAGCATTCAACTCCCGCAACTTACCATACGTTTGTTCAAGTCAGTGGAGCTGGAAGTTGAAGTTGCAGAAGCTGAAGATCTGCCCCAGGTGTTAGTTATTCAGACTTTTAAGTCTGTGGATTCCCATTTTAGCTGTCATACATAGAAGTGTAGGACAAAGGAATGACTTTCAGAGCTTTAACTAGACATTGAAATACCTTTTTCAGGTATGGTATTTTTTTCTTCATGCATTTGAGTTAAGTGAGTCTTTAGATAACCAAAATGTTTATACAGCAGATGTCTTGACCTTAACTCATTAAAAACAAAACACTTTTTTTGCTGTTTGTTTTTTTCTGATTTATACAAATATTCACACAATTATTTTTTGGTGTCAGTTCAATCTGAAGTATAAGATACAAATCTTTCAATTGTTGTGGAAATTTCTAAAACATGAATTTTATCCACAACTTGACAGTTTTACTGCAATAGGTATTTCTGGAGAGAAGATGACAATGTACTCGTAATTCCTTTTTTCTTTTTTATTCTTTTTTCCTTTCTTCTTTTTGGACTTTTGGAGAGTTGATTATACAAACAGCTACAGGCCTTTCCTCATGTATTGATTTTGGATTTTGCTTGTATATTTTGCTGGACTTCCCTACAGAACATTGCCTCTCTGAATTGTGAGGGGAAAAAAAATTATCTTGGATTATGGTGCTATTTCTTAATGAGAAGTTCATGCTGTGTTGCAGCTGCTTCTGAAGCTTAAAAGCTACAGGTCTTGTGTGGAATCCAGGCACGAACCCTTGCATATATATGTGTATATATACAGAAGAAAAGTTTTTTGTTTGGTTAGGTTTTTTTTTCTATGATGAGATGAATTCCTAAGTATTCTAGTTTCATATTTGCTTTAAGAGTAGATGTATAACAAATTCAGGACCAAATTTATAATGAGATAGATCTTTGCTATGCAATTTTTGTTATTTTTGTGATTTAAATGGGCTAAGAAAAATAGTCATCTAAAGGATAGGAATTCTTTTAGTTTGTAGAAAGAAAAGTATAATTTTAGTGTTACTAATTTATTTCTGATGTTCTACTAATTTTAGTGCTGTGCCAGAGCTGTTGATTATTTTTAAATATTTATGAACTGCTCGCTGGTTACCAAATAGCCCAAATATAAACCATTCAGTGATTTAGATTTAGAATGGTATTTTCAAAGCAACTAAAAGATAACTAAATGGGAACTTCCTAAATCATCTGCACTCTGAGAACCGCTCCTCAGTCCCACCCTTTTTATTCCAGTAAAACTCCACTGCAAGCCAAAGAAAACCAAGTTTTATCTGGGTCAAGAGTTATGTATGTTGATGATTAGGTGCCATTTATCACTAAGATCTGTAAAATAGCTTTTATTTATAAATGTTTTCCATCTTCATTTTGCTTTTCCAGTTCTCCACAAGCAGCCAAGAGAAGTGTGCCTTTGTTTGCTGGAACTTGGAAGAATTGCAGCAAGGTAGGTGAAAATATTTAAAGAATGAAGAAATATTTACATTCTTGACAGCAGTGACTATTGAGAGACTTAATAAATCAGCACATCTCAAGCTAACTTTTATGCTCATTTCATTCAAGGAGAATGCTTGTCTTGGTGTCACTCAAGAATATCTTGTGGGAAGTTGTACAAATATAATGAAATCTCTGTACCATCACCTCAATGAAGGTATTTGTTGGCTATCCTTGTGTTAGGAGGGAAAAGAGAAATTTTTTTCTAAATAAAGCTTTGAGCTGTTTCTCCTTCTAACAGTCAGATCTCTCTCTAAACAACTGAGATTTCATTAACTTCACTGATAATAAATGGATCTTCACATGACCTAAATCTGACCTAAGCAACACTAAATAAACTTGGCTCTGATTTTCACCGACAGAAGCAATATGAGAATTGAGTTAACAGCCCATGTTCTGTCTCTCTCAGATGATTCTAGCCAGGCTGAATCTTCAATACATAGTAGCATGATCTTTGATGTCAAGGCTACAGTGACTTTTGCTAGACAATCAAAATGACAGTAATTGGAATGTGACTTATTTTTATTCCCCTTTTTGCAGATGCTGATTTAACAAGCATAATGCATAAGATTTGCTACAAAATATGAACAGCAGTGCTGCTGCACAGTCTTGCATGTAAATTGCAGTTGCATTTGTCCAAGTGTATCAAACTGGTGTGCCTTACTACTCAAATAGTTTCATTAATTTCAGAAGAACTCCTTGTGGTTACAATCAATGTGAAGCACACTCCTGTTTATTCCTAGCTTAAGAACTAGTATTTTTGTGTTATAATTGTGTTATGGGTATTCGTATTTTATGGATTTTTTTATTCATTTGGGAAGCTACTTAACTAGAAATTTCTCTCTTGGTTAAGCTTCAGAAAAACCCTCACTGTCAGTGGAGGCTTGCATAGGAATAGCGTTGGCCAGAAAAAGAGTTGATTTCCAGTTTGCAGGAACTTTCTTCTCTGAAACTTGGAATCAATCCAACATGGCCAAAAAAAAATAATTTAATTTAACTTCCCATGAATAAGAAAAGTATTCTGATCTGTAGGTGCTCAATGAAATTGCTTTTCACAAATCTTAATTTACCGGAGCAAATGAACTGTACTTTCAAGATTCCCACCTTGGAGATAGACCTTCCAACATCCAAAGACCCTATACCCAGGGCATAGCTGCCAGGAGTGTCTGCCCCAAGTTGATTACTTGATAGTATCCAGCTTCCTCAGGGAATGCAGGTCAGTGGTTAGGCAGTGCTGAATTCTGCTAAAGTTGGTTGAGTTAGATAAATCTCATTTTGCTATGAGGCTTGACGTCTCAACAGATCTACAAGGGAATTAAGATAGAATCATAGCCTTCATATTTGTCTTTTGTCTTAAGCTTCCATGTCTCAGGTGTTCTCTGTTCCAGGCATCAAAACAAATACTGAACCAATAAATGAACCATATTTTCATTTATGTATATCTATCCTTTTGCCTTGAAATATTTTAATTTTATTTTGTATTTATAATGCATGTATATTACCACATATCATTAATGTACTTTATATATTACATTTCTGTTACTGTATTTCATTTTTGTTTATAGCTTAGGAATCAAATAATGTATGTCTATGTACATGTTCCTGCTGTAATATCTCTTTGAAAATGAACAGAAATCTCTTTATAAGCTTGTAGGTTTCCAAGGTGCACAAAAACTGTTGAAAGGGAACATCAGGTTAATATAATTGAAAAGCAAATATGTGATTCCAGTTTTGCTTGAGCTGTGGTAAACTAGAACTATATGGAAAAGGAGAATAGAAAGTTGCCTCCGCTAAGCATAGGAAAGAGCACATTAAACTGACGTTGTTGTGCTGCTCTAAACAGGAGAGAAGATGGATGTTTGCTTGCTTTGTAAAGCAAACTGCGGCTGTTGACAGTCTTAGGGATCTGCTTTCCAGAACAGGTTGAAAAGATGCCTCAGTATGTTTTTTAAAGAATGAAAAGAGTAAGAGGCACTGAGCAACTTCTTACTTTTCTCTTCCTTTTCTGTTTTAGAAGCAGAAAGATGTGTTCAAAGCAGGTTATTCATCACAAGGACCCAGCTCTTGGCACACTTTGCCCAGCTAGATTACTGTTAGTCTTCAGGGTCTCTAACTCCCATAAGTCCACCTAGGTCTTTCTTCTTAGTGAAAATAGGCTTGGGATTGAGGCACAAGTGAGGACTGTTTGAAGAGGAGATAGAATTGAACTCTGCTCTGCTAAACTTGAACCCATTCAACAGATAGTCTGTGGGTGAGGGGAGAGTTGATAATTTACCTATGCTTTAGCAATACTTGTGGCATATTCTTTCATAGTGTCCTTCTAGCCAAATTAGAGAGAGATGGACTGGATGGATGGACTACACAGTGAGTGGAAAACTGGTGTGACCACTTGGCTCAAAGAGTGGCAGTTCAAAGCCTAGGTACTAGTAAAAATAGAATAGCTTGATAAACTATCTTGGATTTCAGTTGTTTATGAAAACAAAATTCTGAGGTCATCTATGAAATTTCAGTAGGTAAAATGGGCCATTGTGTGCACCGGCAGGTATCAGCTGGGTAGAGTGAGAATATTTATGAGAGGGGAAAGTGTCCTACAGGATGAAATTGAGCATTGACAATACACAGGGCTATTGTAGTGGGTTGCACAGGTCCAACATTCTCCCAAAGTATTTTAAAGTCAGAGATTTTGCAACAGAAAACAGCTAAATCATCTTTTCTGCAGAAAGAATAAAGTTCTTGGGTAACTATTGAACTTGGGGGGGCGGAGGGGGGGCGGGAGTTAAAACTACCCCCAGAGGTCTTTTGAAATTACTGCTGGGCAGTAATTTCAAGATCTTTCTGCTGTTGTATTCAATTTTTCCTTGGTAAAAATTGGGAAGTGGTGCTCTAAGTAGTCTATTGCAGATCATGTTACAGTCCAATGCTGCTTCATTTGTTGTTATGAGAAGACAGGCTAGAAGAGAGCAGAAAAGGAAATTCTCAGCATACCTTCCAGAGCAGAATTTGCACCTCTACCCCTCCCAGAAAAGATGTGGGTTTTACCATTTCAGCTTTCCAGTAACTTTGCTTCAGGTTCATACAATATGTGGAAAACCATGCATGTTTGTTTGTTCATTGGTTTTATTTTCCAACTCATCACCAGAGGACTTCAGAATACTGGAAGTACAGGGAACTTGAAAAATTTGTCACAATGGCAAAAACCGGAGATTATGAAAAGCAGTAGAAGCAAAGAAGCAGCATTGCTTAGAGTGGAAGAGTTTTATTTGATGAGTAAGGCTGCATGCAGGTGTAGGCTTAGAGCCGAGTGGGAATTTAATGATTTACAGCCTGTCGGCATCTGCAGACAGACAGGAAGTAAATGGATTGTATGCAAGTGCTTGCTTCAATGTTGGCTGACTTTTCATTAGGCAGACTGCACTAGTTAGAAGCCAATACAAGCACAGATTTGGTTCTTGTTTTGTTTTTTTTTTTAATATTAATTTACTAGGCAGTAGTGTGACTAAATTAAAAGTTATCAGGAGAACGCAAGCGCTTATGCCCTTTCTGTGTACAATTGTAACATTACTATGGTATTTAGCTTAGATTTTCATAATGCATTTGTTACTGCTCAATATTCTAGTGTCCAGATCTTTACCTAGATAAGTCAGCATAGTTCTGCATCTGGACTGTGGACTTTTTTACTACAGAAGAAAATACGGTTTCATTTATGCAAGTAGTTTGCTATGAGAAGCCTACCAGGCATCATAACTTCTCAGAGCTGAAGTCCTTTGGTGAAAAAGGAAATCTTTCTATTTTTCTGGGTTTTGTTCAGTATTGGCAAAGAAAAAAAAAAACAAAGAGGAGAATTATCAGTAATTAGGAAAATGGGATGGGGTTTTAGACTTCGGACATCTGCTTGCTGTGACATACAGACTTAGTCACTTGCCATAAAGCTTTCAAAAGCAGTCATTGTTTTAAAGAGCCTTCCTCTCCAAGTGCTATGTTTGAGATGCTCCATGCTAAAGTTGCATGTATTTTGTTTTAGTTGGAGCTACAATTGTTTTGCTGCTGTAAACAGAGATCTGAAGATTGGCTGTCAAAAATCGGTTAGAAAAATCATTAGCCACTTCTCAAAAACATTGGCCATGTCTCTCTTTATTTATCTATAAATTCAGTGCAGTAGTTGAGACCAGGATAACCTTTAATCCCTTTTCATCTGGATTTCTTTGAAAAATACTAACACAAAATATAAGTTGTCAAGCAATTTGAAAGGATGTTTGAACAACAGATTGGCTGTCAAAAATCGGTTAGAAAAATCATTAGCCACTTCTCAAAAACATTGGCCATGTCTCTCTTTATTTATCTATAAATTCAGTGCAGTAGTTGAGACCAGGATAACCTTTAATCCCTTTTCATCTGGATTTCTTTGAAAAATACTAACACAAAATATAAGTTGTCAAGCAATTTGAAAGGATGTTTGAACAACAAAAAAAAAAGGGGGGGGGGGGGGGAAAAAAAAAACAAACAACAAAGCACAAATGTCCTGAACTTGAACCTGTCCTGTATGGTGTATAGCAATTTTTGAGGCCTAGTGTGGTTCATAAATTAGTCATTCACGAACATACATGTTGTCAGACAGAGAAGTTGGAAAAACCCTGTATTTCCTGTAAATTTGATCAAGTGAGAGATTCCATCTAAATTAATTTTTTGGTATTAATTTGGAATGATGGCATTAATGATTGATATATTTTATACATATTTACTAATGTATGTAGCATTCTATTATTGCACAATAGTGCAATATAGAGAATACAAATTTTTTCCACTGTTTTGTTTTAAAATATGTAATACTTTATAAGGACTAGTTTGTTTGTGTGTTTCCAAAAGGTTTGGGGTGGAGCCTCCTGGATTAATAAAGTTGGAAAAAGAGATTGAACAAGAGGAAACACTTTCAGCCCCACTTCCATCTCCTTCACCATCACCAACAAAGTCTCCAGGGAAAAAGAGCACAGGGAAACTGTTGGATGATGCTGTAAGTTGTGGGAGGAAGCTTCTTCCTATCTGACCCATTCTGGTATGCACTTACTTGCAAAGCACACAGAAGCCTGAGTTTAACATCTCACAAATTTTAAAGATTTGCAGGCTGAGAGAGTTAATTTATTTTTGACCACAATTACTTATGCCTGAAGTTTGGAAAAAATGTTGCACTGTGTAGGAGATCTGCAGTTTAGCCTAGCTTTGTGCTTAGGGCCAAGTTCCCTTCTTATTAGTCCGTTTTCTTTTTCTGTTCATTTCTTACTCATCAACTCCCACTTAGTGTTTTGTCTGAGAAAGGACTGAGTCAGGACTAGGGAGAATTGGCCCATACTGACTTGTTCAGAATGTTAACAAACACTTCTAAGTTATCTCAGCCTAATTTTTATGCTGCTGTTCTGCATGTTTCTCAGTAAAAAAAAACAGGCATTTTTTTCCTCATTGTTAGAAAATATCTTGCCTTGAATTTCATTAAACTCTTTGCACTATACTGTAGTGTTCATTTTTCTGTTGCAAACCCTAGAGGGGTTCATTTGAAACAGCTGGAATCAGATGAAAAGGACACATTTCGAGACCAAGAAGAGGTTAAACTTGAAAAGTACAAATATATTCTATAAAAAGAAGCAGTTACTATAGTAACTGCTATATTACAAGGTAGATGTGCCACCTGGGAGTTACAAAGCACTTCTTGAAAAATCCATGTGCCACTTTCTTGTTACAAAGAGCAGATGGAATATAATGTTTGTTCATTTTATTGAAATACTTTGTACTATTTGATGCAAATAATTACATAGAACATTTTTTATGTTTTGCATTTCTTCCTTAACTTTGCAAAAGCACTCACTTGTGTTTCAACAGAATTGAGAAAGAACAGTTATGTGTAGAAGGAGGGTGATGATTGCGTATCTTGTAGGAATAGAACAGAGAGCATGAAGGTTGTCTCCAACCACCTCCTTTAATTTAGAAAGCAGTAGGGATAGAAACAGAATGGAATTCATCCAGCTAGATTCCTGACCCGCACTGCCCCAGACACTCACACCATAAAATAGCAGTAGTGCTCATATAGTCCAGACACAAAATAAAATAGGATATAATTCTTCCCTCTGCTTCCTTATTTGATTTCCAAATTCCACTCAATAATACTTCTGTGTCCTTTGGGATAGTAAGGTAATGGAAGCCTCAATAGCAGGATCAGCAGTGAAGGTCTCATTATCCTCTGTTTTACACTAGTATAAATCTATTGGCTTTCATTCTCCACAGGCTGAAGATGGCTCTAATTTGCTTACACAGTTCGAAACAACCTTAAACCTGTTAGCTCTGGCTACTCTGGGTTTTTGCTTGCTTAGATGAACCCTGGTAGATGGCAGCTATTAAGGAATAGTTCACACTATCCATTTTCAGCTTTGAATTTCAGGAGTGTCTCCAGAGGTGATAAATGCCATAGGATTTTATGTCAGAAATCGCTGATTATCAGGAAGCATTCAGAGGGCCATTGCCAAATAGTCCTCTAAGCACAATCCCAGTCTTGGTACTACATTCCAAGAGATACCGGGATGCACCTTCTGCATCCTTGGCGACCTGCACTTGGATTTAAGTCATCAACCACTGACTTCATATAAGTTAATCCTATTGTACACTGACTATCTAAATAGTTTGATTCTCCAGAAATGGAGGCTAGCACTCACCCACGTTGATAAAAATCACTGGAATAATTAATCTTAAAATAATTCGGTGATTGTACATTAAAACTGAGGATAACTCATCTGATACTTGAGAAACACTTTTTGTGTGTAAAATACATGTAAGGTTCCTCTGCTAAGTGTTATTTTAAAATGAAATTTTTCACAAAAATATCATGCTGTGATTTTTAAAAAAAAAGCTAAGAAGTAATTATTAAAAAAAAATTCCACAAAGTAATAAAGTTATTCAGATAACAACACGGAACAATTTCAGAATAATTGGAAAGCCTTTAAATTGGTCAACAGGGCTAGTTTCAAAAGCATTTTTGCTCCCTATTCTAGTATAAAGACAATAATTGGTTAACTTTTCTTTCTGGTTTACGTAACATACTATAATTTTATTCTAGAAGCAGATCTGAAAAACATTTGTTGTACTTCAGAAACCTTTCCTGTTAATTTGTTCAAGATGACCAAAACACCTATCAGAGTGCCATAGCTTTGCCCTGATATTTTTTTTTTTTTTCTGAAAAAGTTTAAGACTTTAATTTCTTAGCTTCTGACAATATCCTTTCTCAGACCTCAGACTATTTTTACAGACCTTGGTTTACAAACTGGATTTGAAACGGTCTTTGGAATATTATTTGAAGTGCACGAAACCTCTAGGAAGTTCCTCTGGCAGTTTGCATTGTTTGACACTGACATACTAGGTCAGCATTCATTCAAGAAAACTGCAGTATATGGAAATGCTACCCTTGTTACTGCCGTTCCTATGCAGTAGTGCAATTTGAATGTCAAATAAGAGTTTCTCAACCAGATCTGCTCTTTTGGCATTGATGGCTGTGCTACTTTCAGATCACTGAAGAGTACAAAATATACTTCTACTAAGCATTAATGCCTTTGGTAGCACATGCGAGGCCAAGTTTTTACAAGAGGCTGAAGTCAAGCTGATGCGGCTGATAAAAAGCAAGAAAGTAGGTTTCATCTGTATTTTCTCAGCTTTAGCGTTGGCAGTGATAAAGTAGAGTACTCTTGAGGCCCCTTTAAATTACCCTTGATTGCCCTAATGCCCTCAGGTGGAGAACATCAAAGGGTAGTTAGCAATTCTGGGGGGCATCTTGGCATGGATTTTTGATTATGTCACAGTATTCTCTGTAAACTTTTTTTAATGTGTTAGTGCACTATTTGAAAGTGCCAAGTCAAGGTATTGGGCAGGGCCTTTTATTAATAAGCAAGATGCTTCTGTGTTTATTATATTTATTTAGAAGAGAAAATACATCATTATGACATCTTCATTTTGCCTATCAGGTATATTAGCACTTTGAGAGTTGGGCTGATTCACTATAAAATACCGAGAATACATCTACAAAAGTTTGGTGCTAAACTCAAATTAACAAACTGTTTGACTTCAGTTAGTGCAAATTTTATGTTGACCTATGTGACACTTGTCTCTACTTTTTTACATCGTCACAGCTGTAAAATCGTTCTTGATAGCAGAAGCATAGGATTACAGAAACATTAAGAAAAACTAAGAAAATATCAGTGAAGACTTAGATTAATGTTATCATGTTATGGCAAATGTTTTCTTGAATGTTTTGCTACATGTGCTATTTTAAACACTTTCTATTAATAACTTCTGTGTTTTTCAGGTTAAACACATTTCTGAAGATCCACCTTGTAAATGCCCTAATAAGTTCTGTGTGGAGCGTCTTTCACAAGGAAGATACAGAGTTGGAGAGAAGATCCTCTTTATTAGGGTAAAGTTTGTTTGTTTGTTTGTTTTTTTTATTTTGTAGTGAATTGCTAGTATCTGCTGCCTTCCACTTTGCAAATGATATTGCTGATTAACGGGAGAAAATATTTTCTTATTAACCAACACTGACTCATTTTTATGACCCTGTCAGGGAATAAACAAACTGCAGTGGGTTAACTGGCCCAAGAAATTATTAGTATGTAGTAGATCCTTCCAAATTTAGGTCATTGAATTTGCTCTGTCTTTGATCAATGGCAACCAAAAGTCTTCACAAATGGAGATGATAACTTCCTCTCAGTTTGGTTTGAAAGAACATCTGCTGCATTAAAACAGCCTTTCTCCCACTATGTTTTGACTAATACTGTTTGACGGGCCAGGAAACAGATCAAGGACTTTATGATTATTGAATTGCCAAGTCGTGACTAAGACATATTGCTAAAGTAGCGTGAGCAAAATATTAACGTCCATAGTACTTCATTTGATTAACAGATATTTCCAAATCCAGCGTTGTATTTCAGACTTCGTATGTAGTATATTAACTCCCATAGCACAAAGTTAATCGTTAATATAAATATTTGCTAGCATTAGTATCTGGCTGAATTTAACATAAATATACTATCCAAACTTAATTTTGATCTTCTTAATCATCTCTCTCTCTCTTTTATGGTAATAATAATGAAAATATGCTAATTGTATTATTCTGTAGTAGTAGGTTAAGAATCTGATTCATGCTATGCTGCTTTCCATTTTCCGTTTTCCTCTCCACATGTACTCTTTGAGTAATGACTTAACAAAATGATAACTCTTGCTCTCAAATAACTGTTATCCCTATTTTGCTAAAGGCACACAACTGTGACCTGATAAAACTGAGGATTTAGCACTTGTGAGAACAAAAGAAGTCAGAGGGACTCCTTTCCCATCTGTGGAAGTCAAGTTCCTAGTTCAACAAAACACCAGAGTGCTCGTTCTGTCATAACTTATGCTTAACTTACGATGAAGTCAAATTTAGATAAGGATTTAGGTTTTCTCATGTGTATAAAGTTGAGAACATGTTTAAGTGCTTTGCTGAATAGGGATTGAGAACTCCCAATTAATTCAGTAATAGCGCAGAAAGAAGAAGAAATACAGGATTTGTCACAGATATTTTCAGATTTAACATGCTAGTATAAAGGATTAATAGCTTTTCTGTTTTGTAACCAGTGAGACTTTTAATTCTGCAGCATTTTTAGGTACTAGTTTTATTACTAGCTTCAAATGACTTTGAAGAAGGTAATGATCATTAACCAAAAATCCCAGTAATCTGGCACAGTTTAACACTTAGATTTTCTTCCTTTTGATTTTAATTTCAAATAACAATATCAAAGTATTTTTAATCTTCTAGTTTTGAGAAACTTACGTTTTTCTGCCAGAATGGTAAGCGTCACATTCCCTTTTGCTGGCTTCTTTATTGTGCAATCTAGTCCAAGTCAGATTTCATTCCAACTTTGCAAACAAAACACCCTTTTCATATCACACTACCGCATTCCAAATTGAATTGTGCCAAAAAATAACAGTAATATAGATTAGACATTAAACTGCAGTATTAGAGATTGTTGCTACAAAACTGGTATCAATGGAAACTTGCCATGAACTTTAGTAGGAGCAAGTCCGTATTCCTAGGTTTTAAAAGTCAGTTGTCTTTTGGTTTTGGTTGGTTTGAACCTCATTTCAGAATGCTTCACTGTATCGCAGTAGGTTTTTACTCTTCATTCTACATGTCCTTATTGTGTACATAAGGAGATTTATTAGCCTTTGTTTGGAATCCTTTGGACATGTGAGAAAACACATTTGAGATGTGTAGCTGACTTTTAATTTTACTGATATTTGGCACCTTATTGTTATAACCCAACATATTCCAGTTGAATTGAGATCAAAAGTTTCATTAAGTTGGCTTAGTATACCCGTTTACTGTCTCTATTAGCTTTCTTCAGTAACCTATATAGAACTTAAACCGTATATAGTTTCAGTGATGCTACAAGTATGCCATGCGATAACACTTTACAAGAGCTAAGTTTAAAGTGGAATTAACACCTATTACTTGATCGTTAAGATTATTTTTTCAGAAATTATTTAATAATATTATATCCGTAACAAATTTGTTTTATTCTAGTTCTACAAGTTCTGTTAAAAAAAAAAAAGAAAAATTTTCTAAGTCTCTCTTTTTGTTGATGTGTATCTGTATATGAAACAAGTGAAAAAGGAGCAATAATAGAATATGTTAGTAACTTGAAGTAAATTAAATGACTAGCTTATTTAAAACTGAAACATTGGTTTAGAATTAGCGTGATTTTTATATGTGTACCATATACAACCGATTATTTGCCTATTCACTCTTAGATCCATGCCACGGATCTTATGCCATGAAGTGATTTAGGGAACAAGTCTTAATCTTTCAAAGTAGGACTGAAATAATAAGCCTAATTTTAAAAATAAAGTATAACAAGTCATGAAAACTTACCTTGCACAAATGCATGTTTTATAACCTGGAAAAAAGAGACACAGAGTTTGAAGTGCTTACTTCTTGCAGAAGGCAGTAAAGGAGTTATTTCGATTAATAGAGATTTTTGTAGTAAGAAATGTCAGCCAGGCCTTAAAAAAAAGGGTAATTTTTTTTAACAATTTCAGTGGCAAATATTGTTATTTCAAGTTATCTTGTGTTTGTTACATTGTATATGTATAAGGATAAACGCTTTCCACAAACTAGCAAGCTGCTCTTGTAATGATCTGTCCCGTTGGTCCATACTCATAATAACATTCAAATCTTTGGGTTCTGCACAATGGAAAAATTATTTCTTTGTTCAACTGGAGTCATGCCTGCGACAGCACCTGTGAAGAAACTTTATTTTGGGATTCACTATCAAAAATGTGTGTGCGTATATGTGTGTAGTATATATGTGTGTGTATAGATATATAAAACTACTCTGCAGACAGTCTGGTGTACACTGTTTCCTCTTTCTGATGAGAAAAATATACTCCTGTATGAGTATGGAAGCATGTTTTACTCTAGTCCATCCAGGTAGGGATGATATACCATCTAAGAACTGGAAATAAGGAAAAATGGAAAGCAGATTGATTATACATTCTCAAGACTCAAATGTCTTGTTCTGCTTTTTCCAGTCCAAATATGTATGTCATACTCATAGCTTTTGCTTGGTATGCTTCTGTGGTTTTTTTTCTTCAGCATCATTTACCTGGCTTTTATTGTCTTCCTTATTCCAAGGATTTTAACAGTTGTTCTGCTTTTCCCAGGCCTGCTTACTGTTAGTCTACAAAATAGTTTACCTTTTTCGCACTGAAATTCCTTCCCTAGAGTTTTATCCATATTAAATACCTTTCAGGGATGTTTAAAATGTCAAAAGCATAGGCAGATGAGGAGACTTCACTGAACTAACTCCAAAGGAGATGTAGCGGGATGCCTGAGAGTCATCTTGCGAGTGAATTCTGAAAACACATCTTGAGCCTCAGGAGAGTGACAGTCATTGGCCTCTTCTTGGGCTTCTAATCTCAGTCTGCTCATGCTTATAGACAAACATACTAAATCTCAACTCTAGACTGCAAAAGACCAAGGGAAAGGCATGTATAAAGTCCAGCCCTAATTTATGTCCCAGATGTAAGGTGGTTTTGGCGACCTTCCAGCAGTGGGTGGCTGGACGCTTTTTTACTATGTGCCAATTCCTCTCCAACTGCTTTATGCTCACAGAGTAGTTGGCACATTTCAGTCTTACTTGTGCTAGTGAAGGTGGAATTCTTCTCGACCTTCTCAGGTTTTGGTTTTTTTTTGTTTTTCAAAAAAAGCCCTTAAAGGGCTAGTGAAGTTCAGTTCATAAGACTCAAGAGCTCTTGGACAAACAGTGATACCGAACATGTCAGTGGGGTGACTGGAGTCCAGTGCTGCCTATGGGACAATCAGGAAATCTGTTTTCTGCTTCACTCTGACGTTCATCTGCTGAGTGACATTACGCAGCCTCCTGCCCTTCCCCAACTTAAGTTACAGCTTGCTTGTTCTCACAGTTATGCTTTCTCTCCTGCTTCTCCCTTTTTTTCTTTAATTTTTTTTTCCCCCACCTTCCTTCCTTGAGCCTTTCTTATTCAGGCCTAGCAGCCTTCGTGGAGCCAGAAGCTCATGGACATCTCTCTGTTTACTTTGTACTTGATGGTGGTGTGTTTGCATTGAACACAAGAGCAACCACAGTTCCACTATCTGGTTCTGTGAAGACTTGACATTTCTAGTTAAATGGTTGACAGACTTTCACTGTGGGTTAGCCAAACCCATAAAGTACTAGAAATTAAATATTTTTTTTTCTCCTCTTCATTTAATTTCCTATATTTTTTTGCTCAACATGCTGCTTTTGTGTGGCCATTCATGTTAATTTAGTGTCTAGAACTTGTGTGTGTTTGGGGTAGTTTGGAATGCATATTTTGAGGAAAAAATCCTTTGAAAGGATTCATTGTAAACTTCTTTATAAAAAAGCTGTGTAAGTCAAATTCTTAGCTGCTAATTTAATGGAAAAGTGATGGAGTTACTCCTTTTTACTGATGTTCTTGTTAGTCTTGGTTGAAAATGTTTTGACAGAATCTGTCTCTGATGCAATATTCTGATTCAGTGCAACTGACACACCATGCAGTCACTAACTTAGACCTGTTTGCCTTAGTGACCTCCTTCTGTGGACAATTAAATATTGTGTCTTCTTTAATTCCAAGTGTCTTCCTCTGTGCAATATTGTACAATGACAACTCCACTTGGATGTTTGAAAAAATCTTTAGCAAATCATATTGTGATTTTCTAAGATGTAATGCATCTTCAAGAAGCGTCACATTCTAGTTCTTGAGATGACTAATACACCTGCAGTAATTTCCTGCCAGGCTATTTATAATTTAGAGTCGAAGTTATAACAATATTAGGTTCCCTGTATTCAGTGGAAAGAGAAACCTCCCTCAGGAGGTGTCTCAGAACAGGAGGCCAGGGTAGGGTATTCTGAAGC